GACCCATTTATCTGCCTGTCTGTATGCATGGATTTTTATTTAAACATTTTACTTTGGAGGGTTTTTTCAGATCAAATCCACTCAATCACATTTTTAAAAAGATATATTTGGCATGGCCACCTGATAGAAAAAAATCCTAAACAAAAGCATTTTCAGAGGCAAATAAATTTCTTTAAAAGTAGATCTTGTGCCAAAATTATTTGCTGAGCCCTGAGGCTTAGAATTCTGAAATGTTTTCAAGTGTAGCTTCAAAGAAATGAACAAACACAGCATAGCAGTCTTACTGAGCAATCCCATTTATATTTTCATCAAATTATGCAAAATGTGTCCCTGGTGTATTTTTGCACCCTTTTCTCACAACGTATCTGCCAAGGAGTTCCAGCTTCTATTGAAATGAAGGATAGCAGTTATTGAGGCATATGACTAAAGAAAAATAATCAGTTCCCATGAAGCCAATTGCAACACATGGAAACCCAATGTGTGTCAAACCATAACTAGGTTCGATAGTGTGTTTAATAGCTAGGTTTTTTTGCAAGTCTTTGTTCCAAGGTGTTTCTGGGTGGCCTCAAGCCTTCAATCTTTTGGTTACCATCAGAGTGAGTTAAACCATTTGTCTTAGATTCTCTACCTTAGAGTGATTCCATTTAATTTAAATTAATTTCTATTTAAAAAATATATAATTATGTTTGTTATTGATGGTGAAAACATGAGCTTTTACTTATATAGTCCATTTAAAAAAATACTATCCTTGAATTCTGGGGCATCAAAGTTTATGAATCAAGCAACTGAACCCTTCTCTCTGTGACTTTGTGAGTATGGATAGGTCCTATATAGTCAGCATAGTACTGGGGCCTTGTAGATAGTCTATGGATATTATCAAATGATGCTCTTCAGGAGAGAAAGTTCCTTCTCTTTTCTTTCCTCTCTCTTGTCCCAAACAACCTGATATAAACAAGTGGGAAGTACGACAGGGATATTTGGGTACAAACATTACCATCCAAAATTCTGACAATGACCTTTGCCATTTACATTAAAAACATTTCAGAGAAGTTCTATTTTCAGTTATTATTTTTCTTGAAACGTTTTTAGTGTGAGTACCAAAGAGGAAAAGTTATAGACATTGTTCAGACTAATGGAGACGTGACAAGCACAATAAAATGATGTTCTGTGGCTTTTATTTCTGCTTTGTGCCTCAATACTTGGAGAGGACTTGGGGAAAAAGAGCTTTGGCTCTCAAACATATTCCCCAAGAAAAATAGTTTCAGCCTTAACATTTAGATTTCGTGCTATGCTCCCAAAAGAGAGCATTCTTGCAACTTCCAAAGTAAGGTCTTGAAGTGGTTGATGGAAAATGAAAATGTCTATCTGGCATTCCGTGTAACTAATCATTTAGTTCACTTGAGAAAACTTGCAATTCAGCATGTAAAACAATGGCTTGAAATTTATATTTTACAAACCACTTAGATGTTTGAGAAAAAATGGTGGGGGTTTTAATAAATCTGCAAAGCATAATTATCATTTCATTCAGATTGTGAAATTTTCTGGCAATTGTGACAAAACAAAAAGGCTAGGCATATTCAACAATTATGTTCTTTCTTAGGAGTTTGGTTACAAATACCACTTACAGTTAGTTCATTAAGATCTTAAATTAGTTATGAAATGCTCAGTTTATATTAGAGATAAAAGGTTATTCATAAAGAGCTCTGGTAGCATAGTGGATTATAAACTAAGCTGCTAACTGAAAGGTCAGCAGTTTGAATCTACCAGCCACTCCAAGGGAGAAAGATGAGGCTTTCTGTTCCCGTAAAGATTTACAATCTCGAAAACCCTATACAGGGTCACTATGAATCAGAACCATCTCCACAGCACATAACCACCACCACCATCTCCAGATGATGATCAAATTAAAGAATAAATTCTCACCAGGAGAGACAGGTCGATTGCACTATCTGCAAATAATATATCAGACCTGTAGTAAAACATAACAAATCTTTAACACATATAAGATAACCAGAGCATATGCACACATTCATTAATTTCATTAAAATGGAATTATGACCTCTGATATTGTTTCTCATAGCATAGGATTATTAGGAGTTATTTCTCATAGCATAGGATTATTAGAATTATTTCAAATTCTTATGAAAGAAATTTACACTTTTGAGGTGCTATGTGAGTCTAATATATTACAATTATTATAGTGATTGTAGTATCTAATCATCCTCATTTTTCTCAATAGAAGAATAACATAGAGGTAAGTCACTTCAATAAATAAATTCAATACAAACTTTGGTAAAACTGAAAAATGAACTCCTAGCCTTGTTAATGATTCTACCTCCAATCTTGATCCTATTTTTTCTTCACATAACTCAATTCTTGGCTTCTTTGTTTAGCATACAAATGGAATAATCCTATTGCAAACCTTTCATTTGAGAGAAAAAAACTCTTCTGCTTCTATATATAAAGCTATTGGAGAAAACTCTTGAAAAATACATTAATGATTTTAGCACACAAATGCTACTCTGGCAGATTCAGTTTTAAGTGTGAACTACTATTATTGATTCTATTTTTGCATTGTCTCCATATAGGTTTAATGTTTCTAATTTAGCTACTACCACATTGATTCATGTGTCTGTCTTTTTCCTGAACTGCTATAACTAAAAATATAGCAAAATATACATCTGTTTGATTCTTGTATGTGGATGATATTGTCTTCCTGTTGTTATTGTTTTTAGGTATTTTTGAGTTGGTTCCAATTCATCATGATCCCATGCACAATGGAATGAAACACTGCCCAACTGTGCATCATCCTCACAATAGTTATGTTTGAGCCAATTTTCCTGAGTATAATTCTACCACCAACACATTTAATTAGTTCTACTCATGAACAATTTCTCTTTAGATTAACCAGGACAAACATAATGATTAAAAGAAATAATTTAGAAAAGTTAATAATGAATAAATAAAAATCCTAAAACTACATGATATAACAATCAGAATATTTATCCAAATTAAATTAAGTGAGAGCTTTCTTGACTCAAAGGCCTTTTTGCTTAGCAGGTATAGGTTGCTAATATTCCTAGCATCAATGAGAGTCTCCTTATCTTCAGATTCACTTGCTGGACTTCTTTATGTGTGCATGCTCAGGTTATTCTCTCCCAGCTCATAAGTTGCACCACACTTCAACACCATCCTTCTGGCTCTTTAAGTCTGCTTAGATTGAGGGCCTTCTCAGTGAGATAGGGAATTTTTATGGCTCACTCTCTTAACACCTATTTCTAGTGTAGATAGTAAATGTAGTTCCAATTTCTGGCTCCATTTTCAATTCATGCACATTGGTAATAACATTGTAATTCCCACCTGTAACTTTGATTCTTGGATCAGGTTTGATTTTTTTTTTTTTTTTTCAAACTCAAGTTGTTTATTCCCATCATAAAGTTTAAAAATAACAATTTGTCTAAAAATCAGGTAGAGGGGCCCACTGACAAGGGCTTAGATGTCTTTAGTACTTTAATGTTTTCCACAGACTCAACATTAAATACTGACAATGAATACACAAGAGGGGAGAAGTCTCTTGAGCACAGATTCTTCTGGAATTCACAGTATCACCCTGGTCAAGCACAATAAAGAGAGCAGTCAAGTGAACACAGAATAAGGGAGTTTAACAAAGATTTTTAGTTTGAAGGCATTATTAAAAAAACAAACCACAAACCAACTGAACAACCTCCTCTTCTAGTGAATGAAAAGAGAGAAAGAGTGAAGTACAGAACTTCTAAATCTCTTTTCTCTGAAGTAGTTTATAAAAGGGACACATATCACCACTGTTTATGTATAGCTGTAAGTACCAGGTCAAGGATTCTAACAAATTCTTCGTCTCTACCTATGTCACCAAGAACCACATTACTAGAAATACAAATGCAGAGAGATATAAACTATGTGATATTAAAAAACAGATGTTCTATATAAAATACAGTATGCCACTTTTATCTCTTTATGTGAGTAACAGTATAAAGAAAGACCTAGACATCCCAAATGCTCACCTAGTGGCCAATCTTAATGGCTGCAGAACCCAGAGATTCCACCGTTGCCATTTCAGAAAACATCTAGAGTTAGCACCTAGTGGTTTACATCCACCCTTCATACTATGAGTGTGTGTCTCTAGAAATAATGAACTGCAACTTACATAACCCAGTCCATGGGCAAGTTTGAAAACTAAGATATCGCTAGAAAAGGAAGCAGCAAAGACAAAATAAGCTTGAATTTGTTAGAAAAGCAACAGGAAGGTTTTTCTAAAATACTTCCAATTCAAGTCAAAGTTAAAGTGGTCATTACGTCCCAACAGCTCGGCAGAGCTCTAGATGTTTGGTTGCTGTTCTTTGAAAAAAAAATAGAATGTATATTAAGTATATTCATTTGAGAAAAACACTGTTATTTGTTAAAAGTTTTGTTAACCATT